AATTTAGTTTTTTTTACTTTAATTCAGGTTTTTCGTAATTTCCGACAATTAATAAATTTAAAATATATATAGAATATGGATATACCCAACCTGTTCCGAAAACCAAATTAAATATTTGTTAAATAGGCAGACATTTAAGTAAGTGGTGTCATAAAATAGGGCAGATAAGTACCTGAGTCTAGACTTTAGAGTCTAGACCAGGGGTGGCCAAACTGTGGCTCGCGGCTCTTCAAGAGTCTTGTTGTGGCTAGTTGAGACACAAAAAAACACAAATATTATATATATTATATTAGAATGAGATTTAAAAAAAGTTATTATACCAAAAAGTTTAGGTGCAAAAAGTCTGGCCATCCCTGTTCTAGACCAATTCGTTTCTAAACAGTTTTTCATATGATAAATCAACACAGAGGCCTAAACTATAGCTTTCTGACATTTTTCAACATTTCTAGAATTTACTAATTGCTGATGATTTTCTAATTAATAAACTTTTTTATTTATCTGACATTTAACATTATTCATTGAAAATTATATATTTAAAATAAGGAAATGTAAGTTTTCTTTTAATTTTATATTTCTTAATATCCATGACTATATACTTTTGTATCTTAAAAATATAATTTTTTTGAGTATAAAAATATATTTTTCTTAGTTTTATAACTCCCAATAGTACGATTACATTTATTTTATTAAGTATGATCAAAAATATTACGAAATAGTCAACAATGTTTCACGGTTTCTAAAAGATCGAAGATAAATAAAGAAAGTCTTCTAATTCTAGTTTAATTTTGAACAAATATGAGAATTTAATAAAAATATGCTGTAACTCTATGTGCTAGAAAGTTTGCATTCTAAATTATCATCAATCACTAAGTTCTTTAACAGTGGGAGTATTTATGGTAAATTATGTCGTTTTTCCATTTATCCCGAATTGAAACAAAATCACAACATATAAAATAAATTAAAACATTTAGAAATTAATTAGTCTTTAAATATATTTATTCTAAGTTCACACAAATACTTTATTATACATTAGTACAATTTCGCCACTGATTGAAAACGGAATAAAAGTCAAAAAAAGAAACAATGATTTATGTATTATATAAAAAATAATATTGTAATTTAGAATGTTATTTTGCTAAAATTTAGTTTGTTTTTAATTTTTCAAAGCGTACTATAGTGAATCTGGACTGATAGAAGTCGCGCTTTGCGAGGTATCACTGTAGATTTCTGGTTGTTTTAAATTTAAGCAGTAGAGTGAAAATGGTATTAGAAATCAATTCCGTAAAACAATTATCTATAGAGAAATCGATATAGAGAAAATTGGCGAACTCATTCGATAGAGCTCTTAAACTTCATAATACAATTGGAATCAAAAGAGCTTTTGAAAGATGTACGAGTATTTTAATCTGACTTTGACTATTTTTATTATGTCGTTAGTTTATATATGTGCGTAGCTCGGTTACTAGGATATTTATTTTGTGACAGACTCAAGAATATGATGATCTATTGCGCGAATACGTAAATTCATGTGAGATTAGTATCAAGGGACCGAATCACGAATCCTTCCTTGTATCTTAACGTATACATCCAGCGTGCTTTGTTGCGCAGGAAATTGTTTTCAGTGGATCCTTTCTGTCGGTCGTTGAAGAATTCCAAGTTGGCTCGCTTGGTAAAGCGACGGCGGTGAGGTGAGGTGAGGTGAGGAGGGTTTCATGGCAGATGGATGGACGTAAAAATAATAATGGCTAAAAGGAAGATGAAGAGGAAAGATGTGGTGAAGACAAGGACCGAGGTTGGAGGGGTCCGGATCTGCGTGGGGTCGCGTTGAAGTGACTGCTTCGAGCGCAGAAGTCGTTTGACGGCGCGCAGGCAGCCTACCTACCTACGAAGGTCCTTCAAGGTCTTCGCTTTTAGGTTTGCGAGCCAAAGGCGTGTCGCCTCGTAAACTTTCGACAACGCATATATCCATCCATCTTTCCATCCTATCCCACTTCGAACAAACTACTACTATTACAACATTTCGATATTCTCATTTCTCATCAGAAACAAACCACTATTTCCATTATTAGTTTCTTATCTTAATCTCCCAGAATTTTACCTCTTTCAATAATCAAAAAAAAAAAATATTTTCCATTGTTACAGCTTCTGTCTTATCTCATTATTATACTTTATTGCTTCAAACATTATCAAATACATTAGGCATTCGTAGAAGGTCAATGCGTTAAAAGAACTAATTTTATTACTATCTAGTCATGAAATTTTTGAAAGTATAAATTCAACCCAAAAAAAATCGCACTTTATTTTCACAATCTTTTCAATTTAATATTAGATGATAACAAGTAATGTTTTTAATAAAGAAAATAAAAAAAAAATCACAAATTCTTATTGGAGTTTAAAAATAAATCAGATAATTTAACTCAATAGATTACTAAATGTATCTTTCTTATACTTGGTTGAGAGATAACGTTTTGTTTTTTAATGTACTGTTCACAATTTCAGTTATCTCCAGTAAACATCCACGGCATTCTAGATTTCATATATTTTATAAGTTGACATTATCAGAAAAATAATTTACTGAATAGTTCATAATAAATTAATTTAGTTTTTATTAAAACAACCAACAAAAAAGTGTTTGATTATCAGATTTATTCATAATGTATATTATTCAATATTTTCATTTTTATGAACATGTTCAATAGAACTCAAATTTAATACTCGTCGCATTTCCAATGCTTCGGTATTCAACAAATGCTCGACTCCCCATTCTCAAAGACATTATATTTAGGATGCTTCATTGCTTTTATACCTACGACTTAGTTTTAGATCAACTTGAAAAAAATAATCAAGTACTCCTTAACTTCATATGTTTCGAAAGTTAAGAATAATGATCTTGTAATATAATCATTTGGTAGAGTAAAAAGTCTTAACTTTTACACATTATCAATTGCTGTATTATTAAGTGGATAATCATATTACTGATATAACTAAAAACTGAAAAAATATCAATAATTATATCTTAAAATTATGTTCCAGAGTCTAGATGTATATTAAATGTCTGAATAAATGTTATCTCTATAAAAAATAAATATGTTCTTTATTTTTTATAGAGATGGATTCTAAAAGTAGGAAAAAAAAAGTACCGATTCTTGTAGACTAAATTTCTACCTGAGTTTACTAAAAAAACGAACCTTTCTCGGCTGGTACAATATCGTTAAGAAAATATAAATTCCCATCACATAAAGATAAATATCATTTAATTTTTAAACATTTGTATATTTCCCATTATTATTTAGGTACTTGTCATCTAATTCTAAATAATTATTATATATTTTATATAACAAACCCCAATAGTGTTACATAATTACATTACATAAAGTGTTACATAATTACATAATATTACAAAGAAATAATAACATAATTAAAAAAAAAAAACAAGTTATTAAAGCTTGCGATAACAGCGCCGTCTAGAATGATACTTAACTATTCCCTACAACTTACGACCTCCAGTTAATTTCGTTAATTTAGTGCAACAATAATAAGAAATCGGAATAGGTCGAGATAATAGAGATCATCAAGGACAATTTAGTCGTGTAAGCTAAAATATATAATAATAGAGGTCACTTTACGTGAGGATCTCATATTACAACCGACTATCGAAATGCTTGAAAGCAGATTAGCAACTTTTGTACTTTAGTTCAATCTGTGAAGTTGGGAGTATTCTTTGGACTATATTATTTTCTATTTTGATTAATTGGATTTGGAAAAATATCTTATTAACCTTTTAATTAAAAAAAAAGCTAATAATTATGAATTTTAATTAATAAAAACTATGGGTTTACTGTAAAATAATTGAAATAGAGATAGAACTATTATTTATTGTATAATATTTATGACATACAAACGAGAACGTCACATTGCGAGATTGTAATTGATCATAAAAAATATGCAAATAAATTGTTGTTAAATGTTTAAATATACAAAATATGTATTTCATTTTGCATTCTGTTGCAAATATTGACATTTAAATTAACAAAAATGATAAATAATAAAATGAAAGTTTTAGCATACTCAATGTTCTATATCTACATAAGATTTATCTTATATTACAAAATAAAGAAAATTGAATGGCAGATGTCAAAAAAAAAGTTTAAAAAAAAACAGTTGCCTAATGAAACTCAACTTTCGTGCTATGGCTAGCGTGAAGAGAAACTTTTCATGAATAATAAATGAAGTTGGAGGGGAAATGAGAAAGTCGATACAGTAGTCAAGTTATGGAATGGAAAATGGAGAACCAAGCAAGGAGAATGGTGGAGGAGGGGGTCATGGAAAGGAGGAGGTTTGACTGGTTTTAATCGTTGCCATACGTCCGTTATTGATTCAATTCATCCAGAGCAATCAAAATGTTTTTGTTATCCCGAATCTTCAGTGTTCATAATCCTAAACAACAGCATGATTTAGGCTGGCTGCATGCAAGTGCTAAGCACAAAGTTAATTAGAAATGAGTACACAGATAGATTTCCGGTTCAAGTTGGAGTTGGAGAGGGATTGCTGGAAAGTTCTTTTCCGGTATGGATTGAGATAAGTGTGTAGAGGGGGGGGGGGTTAAACAGCTGCAGTCAAATAAGGAGGGGGTGAAGGGTTTGTCCTACTGATATTATCATTGTTAGCTCGTGTGGCTAAGTCGGGCTTTAATCGCAATTAACCGGTTTCGGAGGGTTGCAAAATCTCCCCTCCACCCCCTCACGATGCGGATAAGTTATCCATGGTAACTAACCCCTACCCCCTCAATGTACCACCACTACATCCTGTGGAATAACTCCCTCCATACAGAAAATGTTATTACAGCTATGGCGTTAACCCCCCATCGTCGTCCCCAACATATAGACTCAAATCCTCCCTTTCCCCCTCCAGGCCGCAGCCGCAGCACCAATGCGGCGGGTTCTTCGAATGGTTCAAGCACTATTGCCGCCGCCCCCCACCATTCTCATTCTAGATGAAAACAACCTCGCATTCGAACCTTAGAATCCGTATTGTGAGCTTCTCTGCTAGCCCGCCCGCGCTCGATCACTCGCTCGCTCTAATTCGGGAGCCGCGCGTTATACAATACAAAATACAAAGGCAACCGAACTTTAAATACATGTTACTTCAAACGGTTTGTTTGTTTTATTTTGTTGAAGTTACCTAGTAAGTTACATCGCTCGCATTGTTTTTGTTTTTTAAGTAAAAGCGCGTGTATCGCGCGCACTGTTTTAAACTATCTTATCTTTTAAAACCGGCGCCTAGAACTTGGATCAGGAAGAAGTATCAAGTGGAATTATTGTGCGCGCAACGTTTGTTGACAGTCGAGCTGCCTTGTGATCGTTTTACCATGCATGTAAGTACGCCGCCTACTTCAGTACTCCCAATGCAATAAAAGCAGCAATTTAAAAAATATACCAACTTTTCCGTATTTACTAACTTACAATATGACTATTCGCAATCCTTGTCGCGTCACCTTCGCTTCCCATGCTCGTATCCCGCAAATTTGAATATTCGTATTCAAATGTTCGCAATACCGACGCATGCCATCTATGATCCGTGTCACCAGTAACACCAATTTTCGTTCAAGACATTGAATAACCACCACAACTCTATATTAATAAGCTTAAGCTTCAACATTAACCGCTGAATATTTTTATTCCTTCTCCGGATATGCTCAAGCTCTTATAGACCACAACAACTCGACCACCTCAATCTGATGATTACTCTAGTTTTTGTTTTTTGTTTTGTTTGATTTCAATTTGACATCTAGGCTAGCCATGACGGAACCAGCAGTTGAACATGACTTGGGGCAACCCGGCATTACTAATGGTAGGTTTAGGTTCCAAAAACAATAACACGAGGGTTTTATTTTTTAATTAATTTATTTTTATTTTATTTTTAATAACACAAATACACACGATGCCAATAACAATACTCTTTTTTATTAAATTTTATTAAATTACATAAAAAGTCTATAAATAAAAGCTAAATTTAAATTTAGCAAGTTACTAATTTTACTTACAATTCTTATTAAACCAAACGCACTAAACTTTGCAAGTTATATTTCTCAAATCAATAAAAAAAATATATCTACAGTCTAACTGAACATAGTATTTGTTTAAAATGTTGTCAAGTTTTAGAGAATTAAAAAAATGTATTGGACTAGCAATAAAAAAAAACATTTCTTTCTTCACTCTCTAAAATATTAAATGCATATCATTTAATACATATTATAACAAAAAAGTTTTTGAGTTTACTTATATTATGTTGAGTCGAGTTTAATATTAATTTCTGAAAATAAATAATGTTATGACAGTGGCGTGAGATTATTAATTCGATATTGGTAATTGTTCAAATAACATTTCGTTCGATATACATCATTAATTTACGTTTATTTTTTGTGTTTGTTTCTCTTTTTTGGATGAAGATGTGGACTCACCAAACGACTCGTATTATTCCTCGTCAGATGACGATGAGACACCCTTGAAATGTTTTGAATGTGACGTTGAGTTTACTGGAAAGAAGTTCCTTCACAATCACCTTCTGCATCATATCAAACAACCGTGGGTGTCGTTATCTAGAGTGCAGCTGGCTCCTATAAAGATAACTCTGAAGAGCACCAGTGCTAACAATTTTGAAATAGTGTCGTCGCCTCAGGCGTCTCCGAAGATTGACGACCCCCAGGACACGGCCTATGAGGCCACAGAGTCCTCGGTTGAGGACGAGGAAAACGAAGAGCAACACGAACAACTGGAGACCGAGGAAGAGGAAGAAGAAGACGAGGATAGCGCGGATCAAGAGCTAGGAGAAATTTCGCCGTCCGCAAACAATGAAAGTGAAGGAATCCCAGAGGACGAGAATACGGACGAAGATGGTTCGGAAATAATGACAAATGTTCGATTCTCGCCGACGTTTATCGGAGACGGCCTCGAGAGCGAAAACAGCCAGGACGAAGAAGTCGGGAAGCAAACAGACTACAATCATATACCTGGGGCGGAGCCGACACCGCCACCGGAACCATCACCAGAATATCCGAAAATTCGCATTAAGAGTGGTCTCTTGAAAGAGCCGTTGACCATTACAGAGATCACCGACGATAATCCCAACGGGGATTATAATCAGACAGGTAACGTAGGCCACCCATTTTGCATATGCTTCAAGGATGCAGTCTGATGGCGGAAACACCAACTAATGTAAACCATTCTGCATGTTGATTACAGAGTACAATTCTGAATGCACGCATTGGGCGACGCCTTCTCTAGAAGATCCCCTGAGGCTTCCGGAAACCGGTGAGAATGACAGTAGCATTCTATCGAACCTCTTTACCAACAACAATGACAGGGCTAAAGATCTAGGTTTCACTACCAGTGATCCGGAGTTTGTTTCATTGGAATCATCCAGTCGAACCTCCTCTAACAATGCTTTGGTTAGTTGTTATTTTATTTTATTATTCCTATTTCTTATGTCATCTATTTCAATTGAACAGCAAGTTTTTAACTCGACGACGAACTCGACGTCGTCGAACAACCCTCTCGACACCCTCAGCAACTTACCTATGCAACAATTGGCACAGCAGGTTTCAAGGTTGCAGCCGAGCGGGAACAATGGCATGCACCAGCAGAATGTTTTAATAAACATTCAGCAATTTCCACAGGCTCCTCCACCTCAACCGCATCCGTATCAACAAGTAATGTACCCGCCGCATCCACCGCAACCCATGTATCATCAGCCATATCAATACCAGTAAGTATTCATTCAGGTTTTATTATGATTTACTATCTATATTACATGTTGAGTTTATCACTATAATAATAATGTACCAAACTTTGTCATATCTGTCATAATAGATGGAAACTTAAAAATACAATTTATCACTATCATAATTCAAGGAAACACTAAAAACAGCAACTTTAATATTTGAATATTATTCAAAAATTATTCACATTTAGTGATATATACATCTTGGCGAAATTTATTTATATTGTACCATAAAGAAGAAATTACGATAAAAAGCAATACTCAATGTTCACATTTTTTCGAGCAGTGGCGTAATAAGAATAATAATAATCTATATTGCAACAGTCAAAAAAATTTAATACTAAAAATCATCAGCAATAGACAAGAAAACTTAAAACTCGAATAAACCAATATTTGAATCTATTGTCAACAAAGAATTTAACAAAAATGTTTTTCTTTTTTTTTATTTACAACCTTTTTTCATAAGTTTTTCTATGCCTCTGCTATAAAACTAACCGGGTGAGCAGACAACTACCGAACAGCAGGTATTCGCAAATTCGACTCTAACATGTGTTTCTAAATGTATTAATGTCGATGATTTGGTCGATTTTTTTCAATGCTATGTAGACCAAATTCCTTTTTGTATCATTATTTTCTGCAGTCTATTTCTTCAGATCAACAATATTTTCTTTGGTATTCATTTTGTGTTTCATGTCATGTCTTCTCCACAGATTAATTGAACATTTCCAGATGTTAATTATTTTTCAAGCGAAACTATATGAATTTTAATCTAAAATGTAAAATATAAAGATAAAAACCACTGCGAATGTTTTGAAAGTTTTCAAATTCTGTAGAGAAAAAAGGATGGTATCGTTCCATCTATAGTAGTAATTTAGCGATGACAACAGTAGTTTTATATCTTCAACTTAACACTGATTATATTTAAAACAGGCCTCCAAATCCGATGTATTATCCTCAAACACCAGCATATTCTCACATGCCGCCGCCGCCGAGGCCCCAGATGCCGCCACCCGGTCAACAAATTCCTCAAAACCAGCAGCAGCAACAACAACAGCAGCAGCAAGCAAACAATCAGCAAGTGCAATATAGGCAACCCATGCAGTCGCATCCTAGACAGCAACAACCGATGATGGGACCACGACATGGGGGTCCTGGATCGAGAGGCGGCATGGCACGTGGCGGCATGCAAATGGGCCCAAGAGGCGGCTACGGTACCAGGCAACCGATGGCGACCAGGCAACGCGCACCTATGTCTCGTGGTCGTGGAGGCGGTTTAATGCCAGGAATCCGCGGTCCTCGCGCTCGAATGCCACTACCGAATGGAGCAGTTATGACACAGAACGGACCAAGAATGATGAAGCGATCTCCAGATATCGTGCAGAATATGCAAGCTAAGCGCAAGAAGATAGACGTACTTGTACCTGACAAACATGACGATGCAGACTGCCAAGTTATAGCTGTGCAGCCAAAAAATACAGGCCTTCCTCAAATACAGAGCATACAAGTAATTAACAATACTTATTAATTCACTATAATTATTATTAATTTATTTTTCTTTCATAGGGAAATTGTCAAGAACCTACTGATAATAACATTATGCATCTATCAGATTCAATAACTTTATCAGTAAGAAATCCTCCTCAAAAGCCACCAAGTCCTAAGAAGTCTGATGCAAAAGATGTTGCCAACATTTTGGCAACCAGGGGAATCACTGTCACAGCCACTCCTAAATCAAAAGAGAATAAGCAACATGATAAAACCACAGAACCTCCAGTGGCAATCAATCTAAATAGTTCAGTGTGCATAATACCAACGAACAAGAAGGTAATTATAAATGTTGACTTAAAAAATGTTAGTAATTACTAATTTTCATTATGTTATTTTAGCCAAGTGAAAAGATGACTACAGTTGATTTAACTGAAGAACCTGAACCTCCACCACCACCTCCGTCAGCACCAAAGCAACATTTACCCAAGCAGCATACATCTTCTAATAAAGTGCTACCATTCCAGTGTGATCTATGTCCTGCAAAGTATCCAAATTCTTTCAGTTTATCGAAGCACAGGCAGACATTTCACAAGACTGGGAGTTCAGCAGATTATGGTGTTCCTCTGATAGACCTCCGAACACCAGGGATAATGCAGAGGTTGGCTAGCCTAGGTATACACAATTACATCCCTCTGCCTGGCGCAAATCCTGACTCGACCTTTGCTTTGCCGATAATTAACTCCAACACTTATAAGAACGGCAATCTGAATGCAATTGGTGCTACTTCTGTGCTCACTCTAGGACCAATCCGAATGTTCAGGGCGACGCAAGCCAATAGCAAATAAGCCAAGTAAATGAATATTCGCAAGAGGTGTAATGCCAATAAAATGAAAGACTTTTATTTAAATTATTTAACATATATTTATGGAAAATTTAGAGAGACTGATTTTATGTTCCGTTATTACTGTTGATTCTTTTCATTTTATGAAAATTTGATGTTCATTTTTTTTTTGTATTAAGTAGAATCTAAATATTTTTGTACAAATTGTAAAGTAAACTACAACTAATATTAATTTAAATATATATGTAAATATTATATATTTATTTGTAAGAGCGACGATAAAACAAAAATGAAACATTTTTTGTTACAATGTGTTTTACGAGAAAAATGTGATACGATTAAATGTTAAGGTTTTATTTTAATTATTTTTTTCGAAATGTATATAACGAATAATATCATTCTTAAAAAAAAAATAACAAAAAGAAATCGTTGAGAAATAAAAGCAATGATCTTTATATAGTGTACATTATGGCTATATCAAATATAATAAAAAAATATTAAAAATTTAAAAAATTAATATTTCATATTCCCAACTTCAATAAACTTAATATTACATATAAATTATTGTTTTTTTTCACAAAATATTTAATACTGAAATAATTTATATTACAAAGAGAAAAAGCGCAGATACATTTAAGACACTAAATAAAACTTTGTAAATAGGTCATTTGTATATGGTACAGTTATAGAATTCAGCAAGTAATCATAAATTACTTCCTATCAAAACTGACTATAGTGTCTACAGCAGTGGTTTCCAAACTCGATGTTACCCTGAAAAATATTTAATCATTTGGCGCCTTCCCTCCCCCTTCCATTTCATAAAATACATAAAACTTTAGCAGTTATTTGGAAAATTGCTAACTGTGACTAATATTCCTACTCCCAATGGAGGAGCGCCTTGCAGTTTGGAAAACGCTGGTCTACAGTAATGAAAACAGATATGAAGAATTTTCAGAAAATATTTTTTATTGTGTAGAAGAGCAGTACTTTGACTAAATTTACATTGAGTTGCTTTTCATCAGCAATAATCCTCAAAAATACATTTTTTGTAAATAAATTTGAATGTATGATAGAAGCCAATTTATAAACTGTTTTGCTTTCGAGTATTTTATGGGTCAAAATACCGCTATGAACCAACGGATACAACTTATCCGTGTTTCCGGCAAATGAAAATAATCCCGGAAGAATGTAAGAAATGAATGTTTTTTGGGCTCTGTGCAACGGGAAAGTGTCTTCATCAGTTGTCATGTAAATGTATGAAAATTCGCAATGGATCGCCCCTCCCATGCAGCTTTCAGCAAATTTGACAGTTGTGTCATGCGTGACACGCAATCAGCTGGGCCGAATGTGAAATGGCTGCTGTCAGTCGGTCAGTAGTGTTTGGTTTGGTGGTCTTTCGTTGCGAAAACGCGATAGTGAATAAGAAACAATGTGATAAATAAAACTGACGAATGTCAACAATAATTCAGCACAAAATCACTCGAATAGATAGGAGCCAGAGGTAAGCGATAATTCTGTCCACAATCCCAAAACAAACTGATACACCTGCGCCGCTATTGTTTTGTTTTGGACCGAGGGGGTTGTGTTAATTAAACACAAACACCTCCTTATCCATGACCTTTACAATCCTACGCATTTCTAAGCAAACCTTCTACCATATTTACAGGAAATCCATCATTTTTTCATTTTGCTTGGAAGACAACTTCAGAACAATACAATGCACAATATTTAAGAAAAATAATTCACAAGCATTCATAAAGAACCATATATTTGGGATATGGCCACAATGATGTATCCCACTCTGACCAAATCTCAGAGCATGAGATCGAAACGCAAATCAGCCGTGGAGCTTCTGGCAGAGAGTAAACCCCTATATGTGAAGTCGGAGATTGTGAGAGACAATACACAGGTCTTGCCAGTTAGGCCTGCACCCAACTTTGCTGTCGGATATGGGACATATACAAGGAGCAAGTCAGTGAATGTCACCAGTCACACAACAAACTATAGACCCACCACTCTTCCACAATGTAAGTCACATATTGATACTCACTTAGTTAATTAAAATAATTGAGAATAAATAATTTAATTAGTCATAATTTGCTCTTACATTCAGTTATTCGTGTCTCCAGCTATTTTTTTTAAGATTTATTTAGCGCACTTTCCTGTCATTAAACCGCGTTCAATTTAGAGCGTGAAATCAAAATTAATTGACCCAAAATCGACGTTTATTTCTTTCAATTTGCGGACAAGATATTTTCTTTTTATTTATTTACTTATTTTAGTTATTTATTTAATTTAAAATTTCAAAAAATATTGTTTTAATAATTTCCAAATCTACAAAAACTAATTGCAAACTACAATTATTATTTTTCTGTGTTTAAATTTATCATGATTGACTTTTGAAATAGAAAAATAAATATATTTTGATTAAGGTATTTAAATGGTAATCAAAAAATGTAAATGTATATAGAAACAGTTACATATTGAAAAATATTTATTATTTACAAAATAAGAGATGCAATGACAAACAGTTGGTAAATTGAAGGTATTCTAAAAGTAATTGTTTAGATTTTACTGTTATTGTTACTTGAATGCATTTTTTTATGAAATGTTATTATTTAGGAATGAGAGATTTAATTTATTCAAGATTAAAATATAATAAATCCTAATAAATGGACGATAATCAACTGTAAATTTATGCACTGAAGCAATTTTAATTTCTTCTTTTTGTACATAAAGTTAATCGCCAAGGTTCATGAAGTCTAAACAGGAAACAGCAGATATCGAATTTATTTATCAATGAAAATATTGCATTTCATATATGGATAAGCAAGACTGTTTTCATCTTATATGTTTAATAATATTCCAATTTCATATTTGTTTTAATCCCTTAGTTTTATGTTTATGCTTTCAATTTTTGTATATAATTGAAACACGTTTAAATTAGAGAATCGATTAATAAACAGAAAGTTGTTAGCCCATTGGTTTAAATTAGCACTAACAACTGTCAATTGATTTTCAATATTTAATGTTTTTTTCTATGATTTTACCAGTAAATGATTTGTTTGTAAGGTTTCTATTAATAGATCGAGTGTATAATTCGACGTGCTCGTTGGATGGTGTTCGAATGGGATGAAAGGGGAAGGTCGCGACCTGTCCGAATGCGGTTTACAGAGTTCAAAAACAGCTGCTGAAGATATAACATGAAATCGGCACGGATTCATTACTCATATATTAAAAGCATTAACAGCCACGCTCATTGTTATTGCAGTCGTCGCCTACAACAGCGCACAATGTTATTGCAATCAGCGAAGAGTCACTATTACATCGTCCAATTGATTTCAATAATTGTGCTTAGATAACGAATGTTTGAACAATTTATATACACTTTTGTAGAATTATATATATTAAACTTTACATAATTAATTACACAAATTTATATTTGCCAATTTATACTCACATTGTTGGTGGATGCGCCTGGCAAAAATTACATCTCGGACAAACAAAATTTAATGAAAGTTCCTGTTTCGAAACTTTACTTGGGATAATTGAAGTATACCTTCAGCAATAATGAGACGAAATACACAACTTAATTAAGTATAATATTAATATTTCTGTATTTTAAAACATGTAATGAAGAGTAAGATTTTAGAATTCAACGAGAATTATTGTAATTTACATTAATTTATAGTTAGTAAGGCACTATTTTTAAGCTAACAATGAAATGTTTATTTTATTTAGAAATGTGGAATGTTAGCTGCATAAATATAAAATATCTACGATATTTTTTGAGGTTCTAAAATGATATATTTTCTTTATAGACGGCGTAGAGAACAAGCAAAATAATAATAATCGAGTTGTTGATGTTATTCTTGTTTTGAAGATATGGCTGTATCGCCGTCGAGGTCCTTGCCGCCGCTGTCGCACCGGAGATCGGTGCATTCGGGGAGCAGCGATCTCCTTCAGAACAAACTGCGGCAGCTGTTGGTTTGCGACAGTGCCGAGGAGTTGAGCGTGGAGCAGATGGCACCGCTGAGTCCTCCTGCTGAGTACGCTCAGCGGTGTCACAAGAGCTTACCGGATCTGCACTGCAGAGTTGAGCCCAGTTCTAATAAGAGCAGCAATAAGAGCCTCTCAAATCGAGATAGCGGCGGCTCCAGCGGTCACTATACTCAGAGGAGCGAACCACCACCACCACCGAGACAAGTAAGTTGAATATTGTGTAAAATCTGTTTACAAATAATATTTATTTAGTCATATTTACGCATTTGGACGTATGAAGATTTTTGCTTTCTATAATCCTATAACATTGTTAAAGTTGACGATTAAATCTTTAATAATTGAATGTATTATCAAACGACTAAACTTGTGTGTTTTCTTCTGTGGTGTTTCAGGAGACTAGAAGAGATTCGGGGTCAAGCACTCAACATAGCGGCGGCAGTTCTTACTACTGCTGTCAAGAGCCAGAATGCAGATCTCGGCAGGCTTATCCACCGCCTCCATCAACGTTTAAACGACAAAAGTGTTTACGGTACAAGCGAGATCGTCCCATCTTGCGTTCGAAATCTGACATCAGCGACAGATATTGGAGGCCACCAGAGCCACCCATCAGCCACTTGGAGCAATTCTTCGAGCAACTAGGATTGACAGGCGACAGCTACGAAGACATGCTCAGCCTCAGCCGCTCCTCGGATAGTCCGGTGTACTTCTCCGACGTATCCACGATCGATTCCAGCAGACCGCTCGACAATGGCGCAGATTATTGCCAGTCTGCAAGCACTTATAGGCCAAGCGAGCCGCCTTCCATTGTCGAACGAAACGCGAGGATCATCAAATGGTTATGTAATTGTCGCAAGTCGCAGATGTTGTGAGACATGCATCTCAAGGAGCGACTGGCGAGGCTGGTTGTCGAAGATGGAAGTGGCTCCACCACGTCCTCATCCACGCCCACCAGTAGCACCTTCAGTCCCCTTTATTCTCCCAAGGAAAGCTCATTCCTTTAATACCTTCACTCGAAAAAGAAAATTAAACTAAATCATCTTCACACTACACTTTAGACAGGAATCAATTATAATCAAAGCGAATACTTCTATTCACATAATAAAGCTACGAAAATTTGAAAATGATATCAATAACTCCCCTTTAAAGATTTTTTAAAAAAAAAATTAACTGTAAATATATTTATTTAACTATAACGTGAAATGTGTTTGGGATCAAAGGAAAATTACTTGCTTTTACTCCGAAATCTGAGTTTTATCAATTTCTTTGTTTCGAAATCCTCATCAGTTATTGTTGTCTTAGTTGAAGCAGTATTATTATATGGATGGAAATTCCTTATTGCTATGTAAATCAAAATTGTTTTTGTTACAAAATTATATTCAAAGTCTATTTATTATTAGTAGTAATCGAAATTTTCATATTATTCATGTTATAGGTAAAACATTTATTCTCAAAGCGCAATGAAATAATTAAGGGTTCATCAAAACTAAGTGTAACATATATTACAATGTTTTTTTTAATAAATATCTTGCATGAATATATTAAATGCAAGTCGATGGATGAGTTTCCTACATGATCATTATAACAAAAGCGAACATCGTTTTATTCTGACCAATATTGGTTTCATTTGCGTTCAATTTAAGCAGTATTCAAAAATGTATAATCAAAAATGAGTCTAAATTGTTTTTCAAAATTCTATAACGAGTTTATTGCAGTGATGTAACTATAGCATACAAAGTGTTTATATAAAAAGTATTTTGTTTGGTTACACCACTACATCAATATGTTATATTTACAAATATTTAAAGAATTAGCTGTCTGGATAAATGTGCAAATCGCCGGAAAGGGGATATATTACTTTGTTATAAATACCAAAATTATTTTGAAAATATGTGATATGATTTGTTCCAAGATGAATATTATTAATTTATTTGTTATTAACAAAGTAAAAACTGATGTTATTATGATCTTAAAAAGAAAAACAATAATAATAATAGTGTCGATGATTATTATTGTTATTATTATTGCAATTATATTTGATATAATTTAAATAATAATACATATAATCGAAGAGAGAAAAAACATAAGGTACATACATATAATATATGTAATTAGTTGTGTTTGGCAATAATGTAATTAAATGTGTACGTGAATGTTTTTATTATTAGCGTGATCGGAGGATAAGAATATGTGTTTTGCGTTTTTTTTGCCCCAATATTGCAAACTAAAAATATGTAACAGAAAGAGAGGAAACAACGTCATGTCGTTTAAATGTGTAATTGTAAGAGAATATGATGTACGTGTGTAAGAAACGTAATAGTGTATTTTCTTCTTTTTTTACATGTAACATTTTATACTCGTACTAGTAAAACAATAATAATAATAATTACTATGGTTACACGTGTAGATGTTGTGATTTTCTTTTTGTGTGCATATTTATTTCTTTTTTTATGTTTTTTATATATATTTTTTCTTTTTGATATATATTTTGATTTATTAATACGATTATTATTATTAGTATTCTGTAGATTTTAGATGATATAAAGATATCCATGTAATGGACTTTGCTGTTAGTTAAGATGCCATGCGTCACTATCTAGTCTGTACTTAATTCTCGTTTGTTTCTGTATAAAACAAAATAATATATATCTATAGAGGTGAAAATAATAAAAAAGAAAAACAACGGAAAGGAATACAAATGAATGCATAGCATATGTTTATCCGAAAATGGTTTCTTCAAAAAAAAAAATATATATTATTCTGCAAAAGGTCTTTCATTGCTTCCTATTTCATAAGTCCATTGAATAATTATATTGAAAAAACTTTTAATAAATCGAGTATATGCAAAACATTAACATAAACATCAGTTGTTTGACTAACGAAGCAGGTCAACCCTTTCAGTTTCCAGCAAGGTTTTTTTTAGACGTAGCTCATTTGCAATTGTGATAGTGGCTTTTGGGGATCGCCAAATGCACATACAATGAACACATAGACTCATATGGCTCAATGTGACACCGTTTAACTTGCTACCAAATCACTTTACATTGTTTAAACAGGAGCTTCAAACGTTTAGATCTATACATTATATTGAAAGTTATTTTAGTTTTAAAAATACTTGAATACAATTGTTAAAGATGCAGATGTTATTATTGATATACACAAATTACAAAGATAATTTCAAGATATGAATAAAGTAAAGATATTAAAAGAACGATACATAATAATAAAATATTATGTTTATAAATTATTTCAATAAATGTTATTATTAAATTTAATAATTAATTACTGTCATTTATTGGATAACAATGAGCTAAATGAAATAAATAAATACGATAATGAAATTTTATAATTGAATTAATTTGCGAGATTTTTTTAAATAAGGAAATTGGTTTCCATCTAAGAACGGATATTAAAACTCGCGAATTGGTGCAGAGTTAGTGTTTGATGGCAAACACTTGTAATAGGATTTCTACTGCATGCAAAATATTTGCGATAAAATAATCTAATATATCTTATAACGATTTACTTTATATGTTTAAGGGGATGATAAAATTATGAATAAAGGACGCTTTACTTGTGATTGATAACGTAATTTGTGTAAGTTGGAGGGTGATTTTGCTGGTAAACGAATAAATGTATATGCTGTGTAAGAAAAAAAAATTGAGAGGAAAGGGGTGCGTAGCGTAGGGTGCAAGCTGAGATCGATTAGAGTTCATAGACATGTGCGCCTTCACTGGGTCGTTGGAGGGGTGGATCCTGGGTGTTTTCGGGTGAGTGAGAGAAGATAATGAGTTATGGTTCGAGTTCGAGTAGGAGAGTAAAGAAGTTCGGATGGTGCGAGGAAAGGAGTGAGGTGTACAGGTGCGGCAGTTGCGTGCGAGAGAGAGGGAAGGGGCGGTGGATGGCGAGGGATGCAGTTGCAATTGGATCGTTAGAACTCCGACCGGAGTGGGAATATTTCGTTAATTTGGCAACATGTGTAAATGGCGCTCGGGCCGAAGCCGACACGGAAACGAACGATCTCAACTTCGGCGGGTCGGACATGTTCAGTTCACCTGTCCGCTGTCATCAGGGCTCGGCGATAATCCCGTTTGATGTGTCCGTGAAGAGTGTTTTGCTGTGGAAATCAGTGGCCGCGAAGAACACGGACGTCCCATCCTATGGGTTCGGAAGTATCCCAGTGCCGCCGCGAGTGTGGAAATTGAAGGGAAAACCTTAGAGATTTGTGCAGGCCCAGGCCAGGCCCGACCATTCGTACGTTCGTCAGGGTGTATATCGAGAGTAGTTTTTCGATACACCGATAGAGGCGAGAACGAGCCGCGCGATAAAAGTGTAAGGAAATGTATATATATATATAATAAAGAAATAGAAACATACAAAAAGAAAGAGAGGGAGAGTAACAGGGAAATATATCAAGCAAGTGATGGTATATCATCATCAGCAATGCACATTTTACGAGATCTCCAAAAAGGACGAACGAAATGTAACACTCGAGACAATTCCTCTCTGTGTGTAGAGTGAGATGGAGAGATGGGCCAAGGGAAACAGTGGACCAACAGCACAATCATAATAATACACATACACACACATACAGACACGTTAGTTTATATATGTGTTTACAGTATATATGTATAGGGAGAGCAAATCGGCAGAGGTTCTATTTTTAAAATGGGACTTCTTAGTGTGAGTGTGCATACTAGTATGTGTGGTGTTATGTGTGTACCACCAGTAAATACATATATATCTGTCTATCTGCCTTGCTGGTCTATGCTATTTTCGATGATCATAAAGTATAAATAACCTGTGAGTGTGTCAGTTCTATCTAAACATAGTAAATTGTGGAGCCATTTTTACATATTTATGGTATATTTTTGAATCTCAATGAGGTGTCATAACTGATGTTGACCCCCCGCGCGCAGCGCCACTATCAACATAACCTTCTCACGAAGATTTTTGGGGCAAGGGAACCATATTCCACTGCAATTTTACTTTTTCTGCCTCCCTCTCTCTATATACTTTTATATTTTTGTTTATATCTTCTGTAAGCATATGTATGTATGTAGTAGTAATTGATGATATCTTTGTTCACCAGGTCGAAAAGAGTACGAGAGAGAGTCCACCCTTCGGGCGGGACTGAAGGGCTCCTCGGGTAACCACCTATCCGCATTTGTGGTTGTGGTGAGTGTGTGGGATATCATGAATGCTCTGAAGGTGTGAGGTGGTACGGACACGACGACAGCCACGGTGGCGACGGGCCCGGAGTGCGGCCCCGGGGCCGCCGAGAAGGGCGCCGGTTGCTGGTGGTCCTCCCTGGCGGCCATGGGCTGCTTCGGAAATAGAGACACGCCGGCCGGCGGCGCCGACGACAGTCGCTCCCAGAAGCGCATTAGCGATCAGATCAACAGGCAACTGCAGAAAGACAAGCAGGTGTATAGAGCCACCCATCGGTTGCTGCTGCTCGGAGCTGGCGAGTCCGGCAAGTCTACCATAGTCAAACAAATGCGGATCCTGCACGTAAACGGATTCAGCGATCGCGAGAAGCACCAGAAGATCGAAGACATCAAAAAGAACATCCGCGATGCCATCATTGTAAGTAGTATACCGTAGATAGCAGCACCTCGCTCGCTAACCTTCGAACCCAACTAATCCTTGCGCTCGCTCCATAAAGATGTAAACAATACACAGTAATCTCTGTTGACTTGCTGATAATGTAATACTTTGCTATTGTTTCCAAGAACACGCTGGCCCCGACGGGACTCGCTGTCAACTTGACATGATACTACTGAAATTGCGGTACACAGTATAATTCTCTCACCTGCAATAACTAAAAAAAAAATATTGTCAATTATCCTGGCTACAATCGCTCGTTGTTCTTGTTAACAGTTTACGAAAGTTAACTATTATATGTTGCGGTTTCCTATTTAATCTACTCGACTTATTTTATATCCGCGTTTTATATTCTTTTTTTAAGGTCTACAATATAGACTACGATTTCATCTTTTAATAAATTAGATCACGTTTCACAATAAATTAAGTTTGCTACTGTGTGCCGAATAAAATACCGTATATTTCGGACAATTACTCGCAAAGTTTAGAGATAATTATTGATAATTAATACGGCATATAATATTATTTAAACGTCTAAGTAAATTAAATTGGTTCGAATATTTGTAAATATATTGGAAAACAGATTTACGTGGCACAAAGGTAAACTGAACTAGAGTTACAAGTCTATATAGCATGTATATTTTTAAATTTCCAACTTGATACCTATATGAGCTTTTATGACTAAGTCAATTACTTTTGATATTAACTGTGCCAGCGATATGCTCCTTCGATCGCTAACTACGTTATTGACATAACACAATTATTATCAAAGATGTATAATGTGCATTAGGCTGGCGAATAGCTTTAAGTATCCGCCTGCGTTACAATATTGTACGCATAGTCGCTTGTTCGTATTTCGAAAACCATAATAACAAGCAGCGTGTCTCAATATTTTTGCCACACGACCCAACTATTTGTTGTACTGCGAACCAATTGGAAACAGTATTACAACAGTTCCTCACTTTGACAGCTATCAGTTCGCCACCCATTAAAAATGTAAGGGTTGCAACCCCATTAAATTGAAATTAAAATGTTGTTTAGTCAAGTTTAATGAATGGTAAGTCAACGGTCAGCAGTAACTTGATAAACGAATTTGTATTGCAATTAATTTACAAAATACTCTATATATTTTAATTAAATAAATGAGTACTCATTTCGTTTTGACTTAAGTGCCAAATCTATACTTAACTAATAATTCCATATTCATTTCGATTTGATAGCTTTAATTAGAAAGTATTAATAAAATGATACACGAAAATCTGTTTTTCTTGATAAAGATGATGAAAATTGATTAAAAATGTTACGCTATTGTTAAAAACCACTAAACGAAATCTAATCTGCAATACAATGAAATGCGGCTATTTTGAAATAAAATATAAATTTAACACATTGCCATGAAATATTTTGTGGTTTATTTTTAGTACCCAGTAGTACACACAAACACACACACACACACTTGAAAAGATAAAGTAAAAAGTAATTTTAAAACAGATTTCATAGTAAGAAGCTGTGACTCAAAATATCATTTATAATTTTGAAAGCAAATATCCAATATTGGTTTTTGGAAAAACTCAATGAAGTTTTAATATACATTTAAAGCATTGTGGTAAATGGAATGAATTAAATCAAGGGTTCTATATTGCATATAGAAAGAAACCTATATTGAAACAAACGTAGAGTAAATTAAGGAATGTTTTAAATATTTTATCTCTGGCGCGGATCATGTTTACATTTGAATGGGAGTTTTTCGTGTTTGCCGTTCGTATTAACGTCGCGCCACAAAAGTATGTTAAAAGCGGAAATACACAATATCGAAAATGGACGGAAAAGGTATTCGAAAAGTACGAAAGGTAGACAATGTATGGACATGTATATGAAGCTAATTAACAAAATTTAAAATTTAAAAAAAACATTGTTGCGTTTGAAGATTTAATAGTCTTAAATCTTCCAATTTTACAATTAAATAAATGTATGTACATACATGGAATTTTCTTACTATATATATAACAATTATAAAACTCATAACTTTAAGACTTTGATGACTAAATATATACAAATATCATTATATAAGATATATTTAGTATTTTTAAAATTTTGTCCTACGTTTCTTATTTAAAATAAGTGTCCGCTATCGGTATAAAACATGTATATTACATCATCGCACATAGTTTGGATGATTAAAACATTAACGCCGTGAGTTGAAAAAGTATATTAAAAGAAAAGCAAGTGCTTTCCAACTCATTAAATGTGCAAATCATTTTTCCCAACTTAAATTGACATTTCCCGCCGCAATATCATTACACTTCCATTGGATAAGTTAATCGCCTCGAAAAGAGAAAAAGTTCTTCTAACCGAAATCTATACTCATTACCTCTAATGTAAAATAAAACTGTCTCAACTTTTGTTTCATCATCCTTAAGATATTAGTAGTTTATTTGTTATTATTATAACCTCTACACAGTTCAATTATATATTTTATATAATTATATAATTGCATTTTTCATGGATAACAAATCTTAAAAATAATGCACTAGGACGAGCTATGAACAATTCTGCTACATGCACACATATAAATAAATAATGCATAACGAGGGTATGAACCTTTCATGCAAAAAAAGCTAATTTTTCTTCATAATTAAAATAAATTATTATTTTTTGTATGTCATTCGCAAGTGCCAGTTTTCATGTAAAAATATAATAAACTCTATGAAAGTTCAGTCTCAATATGTGTATTCATAATTAAAATTATTATAAAAAAAAAAACATTTTTTCTTACAGTCTATTAAGTTGCATCTGTTAATTTATAAATCTGAAATTATAGGATCAAAATTTGAAAAGTCTATGGAGACACATTTTTAATTTAAGTTGTATTCTTTTTCCAGACAATATCTGGAGCGATGTCGACGCTGTCTCCACCTGTTCAGCTACAGCATCCGGAAAATCAAGCTCGCGTTGACTGGATCCAGGATTGCGCGACAGGCCCGGATTTCGACTATCCTCAAGAGTTCTACGAGAACACAGAGGCTCTGTGGAAAGACAAAGGAATTCAAACTACATACGAGCGGAGTAACGAGTACCAGCTGATAGACTGTGCCAAGTACTTTCTGGACCAGGTGCACATCATTAAACAGTCGGACTACACACCGACCGAACAGGATATCCTCAGGTGCCGTGTCCTGACCAGCGGCATCTTCGAGACGCGCTTCCAAGTCGACAAAGTCAACTTCCAGTACGCTCTTTTATCTTTATGTTCTTCTTAATTGAAAAGTGTCTATCTGTGCGGGAAATTAACTATTTTCTTGTTGTTATTGTTTTATAGTATGTTCGACGTGGGCGGCCAGAGGGACGAGAGACGCAAGTGGATCCAGTGTTTCAACGATGTGACAGCCATCATCTTTGTGACGGCGTGCAGCTCTTACAATATGGTGTTACGGGAGGACCCATCTCAGAACAGGCTGCGGGAGAGTCTTGAGCTTTTCAAGTCCATCTGGAACAACAGGTGGCTCCGCACCATTTCCGTCATCCTCTTCCTTAATAAGCAGGATCTGCTAGCGGAGAAGATACTCGCCGGTAAGCATAAGCAAGTAGAACACACTATACCGTCATCAACAAAAAATCTGAACTTTCATACTTGGTACGAACCCAAAAAGTTCACGGAGAATTATTCACACATTACTATCGTAAATAACAATTTTTTTAGATTATTTTGTTTTCTTTGTCATTAAAATAAATATACGTCAATATTTGTATTATAACTTTCATGGATCTTATATATTATATATATATATAAATCTTTAATGTATTTTAATTTGTGTCAATTTATATATTCAAGGTTATACCATGGCATTTCAGTAGATAATCAATTGAAGCCATTAGGGCCAAGAAGACTACATTTAACAAACTCTTACAATATGTAGATATTGTTTTGAAAAATACTAACTATAATTATGTTAGACATAATTTATTGTATACATGACCAATTATCTGCAATATGACTAGGCTTTAAGTATATTTAAAATACGTTTAATGATTATTACATTTAAACAAGAATGAAACAAAACTATTTACATTTTGTTTGATATATATATATATGCATGCGTTAATTTTATTTTTTATTTTCTTGTTTTTAGGAAAGAGTAAATTAGAAGAATATTTTCCTGACTACAAAAGGTATCAAACACCAGTGGACGCGGCGAACGATGCCAACGAGCCACCGGAGGTAGTAAGAGCCAAGTACTTCATTCGGGACGAATTTTTGGTGAGTTCTGATTTCGTTATTAGTTATTATCTGTTTTGTTTGCTGTTTTTGTTGAACAAGTTCGGAAATGAAATTGTTATATTAATTTCATTTAATATCTGTTTGGCTTTAATTATCGTTTATGACGGGACCAATAAACTTGATGCAACGTGTGGCAGAGGGATCGGCGGGGAGGATAAAGTCGGACAAGGGGTTTTATTATGAAATGAAACAATGAAATTGCAGGCAGCGACAACTGCTAATTATATATGTTCCACAACAGACTAATTGTTTCGGAGGTTTCATTAGACGTAGTGTACGGGGTGCGGCAGAAATACGGGCGATTATAAAACTTTATTTTCTTGACCACCGGTAACGGTCATTTCATTTCGTACTCTATACAATACATACAATATTATACCATTTAATATATATTAATTATTTCAATATGAGCTGAGCTCAATATTTTTTATGGAGAAATTAAGTTATTTGTGTTACTTGTTTCTTTGTAACAGTTAGCAATCTCTACCAATCCTCTCCCGCTGATCATATTGTCAACTATTGTTTATGTAATTAGTTATATTTACTGTTTCTTATTTATGTTTTCTTTTTAGCGCATAAGCACAGCAACAGGCGAGGGCAAGCATTACTGCTATCCGCATTTCACGTGCGCTGTCGATACGGAGAATATAAAACGTGTGTTCAACGATTGTCGAGACATCATCCAGCGCATGCACCTACGTCAATACGAACTCTTATAACCGCCCTTTTTTCAACAACAAAAACATGAAAGAAAACAAACACAAAAATAAAAACAAAAAAAATAATTATAATACAAGAGAAAAAAAGAGTATATTTAGCTGCTTCTGTCTTCAGCGCTATTATCTTTACTAACTAAAACAAAACAAAAATAAATATAATATGTATACATAGAATATATGTATATGTGTAACTACGTACAGCACGTTCAAAGCCAACCTAAGAATTAAACAGAACAAAAAAAAGTAATAAGCAACAATTGAATGTAAGGTATTTTCTCTGGAGTAAATGAATACTACATTTAATTCTACAAACAATATATATTACAAAATATTTCAAGAAAAAACGGAAAGAAGGAAGAAATAAAAGAGTATAAATATAAAATAATACTTATCTGATATAGTGACCTACTATTTTGTCGTGATCTCTACTACATAAAAAAGATAGAAGAAAAATAATTTGTTTAAATTCAATTTTTCTTTATCAAACTTAAACCTCGAATATATATATATATATATATATATTATATATTGCATGTGTATAGCGTAAAATAACACGAACCACGGAAGAGAAGAGAATATATCGAAGAATTTACGATGACGCGCGTTCTCGGTTGGTTTTCTGGTATTTCTGTTATTGTTTTTGTCTTCTGGTATATCGCAGACGAATTTTCGAATTTGGCGCTTCCAGGGCGAAACAATTGCTTGACATCGCGCTCGAAATCTATAGGACCAAAACGAAGACAACGCATAGTGATTATATTTGAACTTAACGTTTAAGATTAATGATGATGATGATGATGAATTCGATAATGTTATTTCGGAAATACTAAAACAAACCACACACACACACACACACAGCAAAACGAGAAGGGTAACGATTTAGAATGGATGGAAGCTCCAAATTCGAACTATCGGATTGCATTCTTTTTTTTTAATACTTGTTTTGTTTCTCTCGGATTTCTTGATCTGGAGATCTGAAATGTTATTATTGTTATAATTATATGAATATATAAAAAGAGAAATTCGACAAATTTAATTTTTCGTCCGGCATTTTTTTTTGTCTTTTCGCGCGTCGCTCTCAACAAAACTAGTTTCGTGTGGGTTTTCGGTGTTTCCACTTTTTTCATTATAAATAAATTTAAGATGGAATAAAAAATCTCTATAAATATTTACATACATAAATGGAAGATGGAAAGAGTAAAGAAGTAATTATAATTATTGTAAAACCAGTAGTGAAGGAATCCGTTTTTATTGATGGTTGTAAATTTCTCGGTGTAGAAACATGAAGTGTCATTTCTTCACCTCCTGCCACTTCTACTCTTTGTACCTCCAGACCACAATCTCATCCCATCCCCCCGTCTTTTATTGCCTCTTTTAACAGGTTTTTTTGTAATTGTTATGTTCCTCATCCAGGGACAGGTTTCATGGTACGTCATCCCATTGAACGGTTTTGTTTCCTGTTAACTTTTGAATTTTCGTTTCCGCTCTTCATCTTTACGAACTAGGGAATACAATCTATTATTACTTGAAGTAAATTGAAATGGAAATATTAATTATATGTGCAATTTTTTTTTTCTGAGAAGATGTGAATTTGTGATTTGTAATACCTTAAATAATATTATATTTGCATTCTTCCTCTCTATTTTGTTTTATTATGCGCAACGTTGATGGATTCACCTATGTTTTTATATATAAAATTTTATTTATGTTGTTTCATTGATTTAAAGAAAAGATTTTTTTTATTTATACATATAAATATATGTATGTATTTATGTACATAAATACATATGCATATATATATGTATATATATATAAAAAAAGCAAAGTATATTTATTTTATGTTGAATGTAGTGTGTATATTAAATGGATAAATATTATATATATATAGCATACAATTATATAGCACAAAAAATGATTATATGTGAACAAGAAAGATTGTTATTTATAATCTTCGGATGTTTTCGTTTTAAATAATTCAACTATTTCTTATTTTCTCATAGTGTAAAGAAAAAAAAGGAAACTGAATAAATGTAAAATCGATGAAGATGATGAGAAAAAAAAACTTAATAATAATTACGGAATATTATGATAAGTAATATATGTACATTTGATTGTGTAAGAAGACTTTGTGTTTTTTTTATTTGATTTTTACTCGTTTGAAGCAAACATTTCTGTTTCGACTGCTGCTTTTATTATTTCAACACACACATACACACACACTTCATTTACTTTCCTCCTTCGCGAAATCAAAAGAAAAGTACATTTTATGTCACATTTTTTCTTTTCGAAGACTACTTTGATCGATTCCATTTACCATCCAAACCAATAAAAAAAATAAATTAAACTTTGTTCTCATGACGTGTACGGATCATTTGTTTTATTTACCTGTATTTACTTATCATTTTGCATTTATATCCTTCCTGAGGATAGAACACATACTTTAGTTTGCTTAAGTAACTAAGTTTAAGGTTGGCAGCGCGGCTGTTTTTTTTTTGTTTAAATTTGTTTGTTTTTGTTGTCTATTCCCGTTGCCTTTTTCTCCCCCCGAAAGCTCTTTTAAGGATCATCAGTTGATTATAGTCATCTCTTATCATGAATGTATTTAATTTCTCTTTTCTTATTTCTCATTAGCTCTTCGAGTAGTGAGTAATTATTAATATGATATATAAAATAAATGTGCTGCTAGTCTAATATAAAAATTATATAGTATATGATAAGAATGGAAAATGCGTAATCTAATGTGAAATAGAATCAATTTCTTTACGACTTCTTTCCGGATATTCAAAACTCATAATCATTCGTCCTCCTCGTTATTTTATTATATATATTTATATATTTGTTAATCAACTGATGAAATGATCTTACGTATAGTGAATTTGAACCCGTTGGCATCCATTAAAAATCATGCTCTTAACGATACGAAAACAAAGTATATAATTGAATGAAACACATGAAAATAATGTAATTAATAATAAAAAAAAAATCTAAGTGTGTGGCGTTCACTTTTGTTTCTCTCGAAACTCCTCCCTTACAAAACACTTCCCATCCCTCCTCTTCTGTTCCATTATAACTTGAGAAGCAATTGATGGGACGCCCTGTATATATAAATATTAAATTAATAGAATATTGAATATAAATAATGCACAAATATAATAAAACAGAGCAATTTCTATTTATTTAGAAATAAATATATGTTTAATTACAAAAATTCAACAACAACAAAAAAAAAGCGAAATGAAAATAATTACTATTATACGTTGTGAGCTGAAAATGTTATTGAAAAAAAAAAACTATAAAATTATTATTAAGCAGTATATTTTTGTTTTGAAAAGTTTATTACTGTTTTCACTCTTCCCGAACGCACTGACATACAATATTTTGTTTCTCTTCTCTGTCTCTTCTTACCGTTTTAAGTAAAGAAAAAAGATTTGTTCTTGTATTTCTTCTCTCCTGATGAACTGCCTGTTAATATGAATCTCCTATCTTATTTAATAAAAAGAACATGCATATATGTATATGTATGCATATATGTATTTATATATATATAAGAGAGATGTAAAACTAAATGAAATCTGTAATAAATATGTCTTAATAAAATAAATTGTTGTTTATATTGCCCTAAAAATATAATTCCTTTAACTTTTACTATTTACTATTCAACTAAGTGTAAGGTAAGTAATCAAATAATTTGTTGTTGTTCTTTAACAATTTATTAATACATCAAGCATAGTTACTTTATAAAATGTAATTTTGTTATATAAACATATGTCATTATTTCTAATTTAATTATTGTAAAGCCTTGAATTAACAATCTAAAATTCAAAAACTTTAAAGACCAGTGAGAAATAACAGTATTTTAATTCATTAAGTAACCTATCTGACCTCAATATATTACAAGAAAACCTGCAATAATAACTATTTTATTATATTATGCTTTTCTTGCGTCCAATTTTTTTCAACAATTTAATTGGAATTTTTTCCGACCACTTCCGTCTTTAGCTTCTGCACCAAAGCCTTTCGTAATTTTAACTTTTGCGGCTCGATGTGAGATCCTGGCTCTGAAGACATCAAAACTTCGGCTGCTTTTGCAGATTTAGGACGCACCTTCTTACCTTTTAACTCTCCTCCATCATCAAGATGCTTTTTTCTTGCTTCTTTCTTCAGTGCCACCAACTTGTCGCGTTGCGTTCTCAAGTAATCCTGTCGCTTCTTCAGCTCAACATTATCGACCTTCAATAACAAATTAATTCAGAAACTCGTATATTGTTCATCTTTACCTCCTGCTTCTGTTTTAGGTCAAAAGTAGTTCTCTCCGGTTTTATCATTTCCTCTTCTTCATCGGTTTCGTCCAGTTGTTTCTCTAGAACCGCCTTCTGTGTTGTCAACTTATCCTCTGCACAAATTAAATAATTATTTTTGATGGAAACAGAATAACGTTAAACTTCTGCAAATACCAATAGTTTTCTTCAAAGTTTCCTCCAAATTGAACTTTTCTTTATGCAGATAATTAATTTCTTCTTCCACCTCCACTTCTTCCGTCTTCTCTATTGGAAATTGCCTTGAATATTATCAAATTTGCATTGTTAACATATTACATCTTTTAAATCTTATTACTTGCTGACTTCTTCCAGGATTTCTCGTTCTAAATCTGAGGACTTGACGATTTCCACCGCCGCAGAGGATTCGCCTTCCCTACCTTTTGGTATAAACAGTTCTGGAGTTTTTCCGTATTTGTGCTCGATTAATTCAAGCGCTTGTAGCTGTAGCTCAACATTCTTCTGAGCCATCATCCTTTTGAACATCTGGTAATCGTTGGCTGCCCATATTTGCTCAAAAGTATTCTATTCATATGACAATTCACAATAAACCAGAATTCATAATTTGAATTTTAATGTATACTCACCGGATCGAAGTGGAGAGGAACCGCTTCTTTAGCACCCCTAAAGCATGCAGCTTCAAATTGCTGCGGTGATATCCCAATATCCTCCATGAAGTTACCCAGCATGAAATCAACCTAATTTCGTTTTGTAATAGAAAAAACAAGTTATTACAAAAATGTTTGCTTCATGTGTGATTTTATATTTTTAAATGTCCACTTGATAGTGATATATATTTACCAGATTCTTGAAGTCATCGAAAGCCTTTTTGTATTCTGGATGCTCGGCATCATTTGGCTCAAAAACTGCATTGTTGACGAGAGAAAGCAAAGAAATAAAATGATGTATAAATACAAAGTACTTATTTATTGTGTTTAACTTAGAGATCGTTCTTCGATGAAGCTCTGCAGCGGAGCGTTCCAAACGGGACCGTTGAGGAAGGCGACGAGCGAGTCGAATACCCAGCAGTCCTCTTCAGCCATCTCCAATACTGATTCTCTTGTACACCAGCAGCAATTGCGTTGTTCCTTATACTGCGGACAAGTCGTGTGTGAATCGAAAAGTCTCCATGGGAACAGCAACGGAAATTCACAACAGTATTGCGGTTCGATGCCGCATTCCTGTTGCCTGTTCCATCGATTTACCTACATATTTAATGGTCGAATCCGTGAAAACCATGAAAATTATTACCATCAACGGAAGTACTTTAACCCGAGGTCATCATCTATGAAAATTCCAATGTATTTAGATAAATAATTGCAATTTTAACATTTATAAATCAATATTAAGTGCATGTTCATTTCAGCGTATTAATGACATACGTTATAAAATATCAGATTTCAATAATTGATATACAGTAGCGCCCCATATTGACCCTACTAAGAAAATCATAGTTTTTTTTTTGGCGATTTTGAGGCCCCTTAATTCGATTACGTAATTTTCGTCGGATCTCATCGAAATAGCGATTCGGAGACAGCACGAAGATGTTAGTCGGCTCGTTGGAAAGATGAGACATTCAGTTTTCATATGATGTAATTATCTTAAGGAGTTGTCGAGAAATTTTCGAAAAACTGAAAATAAATCGCAAAAAACGTTTATTCCCTGTTACGTAAAGAACATTATGTAATTTTTTTCATAAATGAATGAAATGCAATAAAAGTTTATTGGTTTTCGAGTTATTAATGAAAATCCTTTTTTTTTTTTCAAAAAAATCCTATTCAAAGGCAAAAAGGCTCGTTGGAAAGGTGAGGTATTCAGCTTTCAATTGTGTAGTCGATTATGTATTTATATTAAGGGATTGTCGAGAAATTCACGAAATACTTAAACAAATCGTAAAAACGGCTTTGTGAGGCCCTATGTGCAACATGATTTTGAACTGATTTTCGAACTGATCACCTTTAATTCGGATTTTCGCCTGTTTCACGAAAATCTGATACGAAAGGTCGTTGGTTCGATCCTCAGCAACCAATAAAAATAGTGGAGGCCGTTAAACACCCACTTTCGGGCTAAAGAGTTTTATATCAATAATAAAAATGATATAAATCTCTTTATTAATTTAATAATTAAAAGAAGAATTCGGAATTTATAATATAAGCAACCATAATAATTTCTTTTATCGCCTTGGCCCTTTTTCTACTATTTTCGGGTTTATCGGCCCCCACAATTTTTGGTTGTTTTTTGAGGATTGAACCAATTTTTTCGTATCGGATTTTCGTGATACACGCGACCCATTAATTTAGTTATATTTTTAAATTTATTTCTGTTTACTTGTATATATTTTTTGTTTAGAGGTTGGCGTCCCTGATTTGAAGATGGAGCTGCCAATTTGACGCGCTAAAAACTTCCTTTTCGAGGCCTCCCTTGTGACAGGTCGTTCTTTTTCCCAACGGAATCCACAAACATCGGCTCCAAGAAGCCTTTTTTTTATTTACAAGTGCAGTGAAAACGTGCCAAAATGCCACCAAAATTCGATCCCACTGAAATTAAATACGGTAAGCTTTATGGAGATAATACATTTACATCCAAACATTCAACGACCCTCAGCAAAATTTGCGCCTCCATCGCCGTGCGTTTGTTGTCATATTTTTGATTGTTTTGTTTTTTATTTCAGTATACTTGAGGTGCGTTGGTGGAGAAGTAGGTGCTACTTCTTCCTTGGCCCCAAAGATCGGTCCTCTAGGTTTGGTGAGTATTACATTTTCATTTATTATTATTTTAACGTTCATAACCTCAAATAGGTTTGGACAGATTTTTGTAAACACATGGATTGAATGGTTGTTATTGTTTTGTTTGTGTAGTCCCCAAAGAAAATTGGTGATGATATTGCCAAGGGAACCGCAGACTGGAAAGGTCTGAAGATCACAGTCCAGCTGAAAATTCAAAACAGACAAGCAGCAATCTCTGTTGTTCCTTCCGCCGCATCCTTAATTATTAAGGCTCTTAAGGAACCCCCACGTGACAGGAAGAAGCAGAAGAACAGTATGTGATCAATTACATGTTTCTTTGGTAAATTTTTAACACATTTTATGTTTATAGTTAAGCACAGTGGTAACATCACCTTTGACGATGTTTTGAGCATCGCCAAACAGATGAGGCCACGTTCCATGGCCCGCGAATTGTGCGGAACTGTGAAGGAAGTTTTGGGAACTGCCCAATCGGTAGGTTGCACCATCGATGGCAAAAACCCACATGACGTTATTGACGAAATCAATGACGGCAGTTTAGAAGTCGCCGATGAATAGACTTTTATTATCTTGGTTTAATAATAATAAAAAAATAAAATTATAATTTGTTTTCATTAGATGGAACTGGGATTCCACGCCTTAAGCACATCTATGCCTAGTTCTTCCACATCCTTGGTACCCTCGCGTGATATTATTGTTCCGTCGTCTTTTGTTACAATGATTTGTGGTATGAATGTTATATTGTAGATTTGTCGCAAAATTCTGAAATGAGATAAACGAACTAGTTTAAATTCTATGGGAGTTATTTAATACTCTCCGCCGGAATCCTCGAAAGGTACAGCATACCAACCGCCATGTCGTTCTTGAAAGTACTTCAACATTTCTGGAGCTGCAGTATCCGAAGATACGAAAATAATTTCAAGTCCAGATTTGCGAGATTTGTTTTCCTATATGTACAACAATGTTAATACCTAAATAATTATCAACATAATAAATATACTTTATAGATGGCCTTCATTTTTGGCAACAGTTGCTTGCATGGACCGCACCATGACGCCGAAAAGTAATAAGCTATGATTTTTCGGTTTTTGAATGCTTTTGCAGCTTCCACCTTTATTCCGCTGCAATTCAGCAATGTACCAGTAGACAAATGTTCCATTAATTTCTGTGTAATGCAAAAAAAAAAACAGTATGAATCTTGTATAGAAAATTATTTTGAGATACAATAGGTATATTAAAGCTTCAGGAATTTATTTATGTACTTTTAACCCTTCAGGCTGCGTTGTGTACAGACGACGAAAAATATACGTTGATTCATTTGACAAGAATGGTTTACAAAAAAAATAAACTGACATTTTGCAGGTATACAAAATTGATTTTCCGTTGATAAATAAAAGTTTGTTGGTTTACGTCATGATATAATATTCTTAGCAAAAATCTTGTCCAAAATATTTTATATTCTAAAGTAGCAAGTTTTCAATGCAAATATGAAACTTAGTAGCTATTAGTATTAATTTCATCATTATTTCTAGATTAAGCTTTAATCAACGTTAAGGTGTAAGGAAATATTTTTAAAAAATATTGAGTCATAATGGGGAATTATAAAAACAACTTGACCACGAAAACGTTTTGGAAGCGCTGGGTTAATGAATATTGATAATAGTAACATTTACTAATTTGCATACGGAGATTTAGTTTACAAAATTATTAAAAACTAACTTAAATATATAAATGCTATATGCAACATATTTAACTGAAGTCAAGGTTTTAATAACATTATTATGTTACGTGATTATATATGGCGTATTCGTAAAAAAGTATATTTAACAATTAAGCGAGGATTGCACGTGGCGCCCTCTATTTTGTGGAATTGAAGTCAGTAATGTCAGAAGCTTTGCGAAGAATTCGCAAGTATTTCATGAATTGAGCTTTTATTTCTGGGCTAGTAGAAAAAGTCGGGGTTCGCGGGGGAAAGTAGCACATGTGAAAAGGAATCAAAAACGTTGCGCCTGACAGGACATCCATACATCCACCCCACTGTTGTGTCAATATTCTCATAATAAAAAGCATTGAAAAAAAAATCATATACATCTCATCACCATACACAAACGAATCACCTAATAAACCACTAGATGAAAGGTTATTAATTATATTTCGCTCTATCCGTCTCTACTAAAAAGTCATAGCAAAATTTAAGAGGTGCCGTGTTTTAGTAGTCTGGCGTACAGCAGCTGCTGTGGAATATTTTGGTAGGTCGGAGGCGGCGGCGGTTTGTATGCAAGTGTCTGCAGTAGAAATTGAACAGGAAGTGAGGTTATGCACGTCATCGACGGTGCAGCGGCGGGGCGGGAAGCGCGGGAGATTTGAAATGATGGCAGCGGATGAGCCGCAGCAGGCGTTCACCCACGACGACGATTTCCATGATATCGTGAACGACAAGGATACGCTGCGGAGAGCGACAGAACGCTTCCTGGTCAACATGATTGACGAGCTTACGCTAGGCATCATCTTCGACACGCACCGCAAGTACAAGACGCGCGCCTTCGATCTGGACGGCGACGGATCTCCCTGCAATGACATTGGAAACGATACCAGCGTTGATATCTTCGGCCAACACAACATGAAGAAGACGCAGGAGTGCGAATGTCCCAATTGCGATAGGGCCGTGGTGGCCGCAAGGTTACATTTCCTCATTATTTTTTCTTTTATATTTTAGTATCTCGCAACGAATGAAAGAATTATTTTAGATGAATTGTTTTTGTTTTAATGTTTCAGGTTTGCGCCACATTTGGAAGCCTGCTTGGGCATGGGACGCAGCAGGTCGAGGAACGCGAGCAGAAGGATCGCCAATAACAATAGTAACAATAACAACAAGGATCGCGATAGCAACATGTACAGCGAGCTACCTAGCGACGATGAGTTCGATGACTCCGGTGACAAGAGGCGGAAGAAGAAGCACAGGAACGGCAACAAGAAAGGAAAAGGTCCTCATTCTTTCCTGTCGCATCTAAAGAACTAAAAAGCGACTAAAGTGTGTGTCGTCTTTCAGGCACGCCTAAAAAGTTGATCAGCGAGACTGAGCCAATTGAGACTACCACAGTCGACATCGAGGGCGACGAGGATGGTGATGTTAGCCTGAAAGACTTCTTGCAGGACAATTCGAACCATTCTTCGCCTGTCGATGTCAGCGCACCTGCCACGCCCAATTCAAACAAAAGCAAGAAGGATAAAAACAAGAATAAGAAGAATAAGCGCGACAGGACATCGCCGAGCACTAGTCTTGAATGATTCAGGGCTTCGCGGTTTTCCTGCGTTCATTTTTCCTTCAATTCCCGATTAGTCAACATAAAGGAATAATCGTACGCCACATGAGGCGTCTCTGTCCATCCATTCTTGTGACAACAGATTGGTTTATAGCCGAAAGCGATTAGACACTGAACTCTGCCAGCTTTCAACAATATTCATGAACGTTATTCAGTTATCCACGATAATTTATGTAACTGCTCATCGGATAATGTTGATAACTACTGACTCAGTTCGTCATGTTTATCTTGTCTTTTCATAATTAATTGTGATTTTTTTTCTCAAGTTATCGTAATTTATTATTACAAATGTTGATACTTGTATATAAAGTAATTCAACAATATTACACAAAAAAAGGTCATTGGTAATATATTGTCGATTTTTTTTATAATAGCAAGTTTTCAACAAAAATCTGGCAGAAAATTAATCGGCGCCATATTACACTAAGTCATTATGTTACATTTTTATATTTGACAATATCATTTTCGGCTGGTATTCGTTGACTATTTATTGAATTGATATTAGTATTTTTCAATTAAAAATGTTAAGAATTCAAATATTCTCATAGATAATGACTTATTCTGCCCGATATCAGTGTCGCCTAAATCGCTTATTAGTAAAGTTCATTTATTGCCCTGTCCAGATATAATATGCCAACTAGGTGGTGTATAAATGTTATTAAAACAACAATATAAAATTTTGTATATAAAAGTATAATCAAAGCGGAACTATGCACATATATGTGTATTATTGTACATTTTTTGAATTGAAATGGTTGTATGTGTATATTATATTCTCAACTACTTACTTCTGTATTTTCTAATTTATGTTTGACGCTAAGTATTAAAAGTGTATGTTATGTTTATGATGCCGACTACCTCAGGAAAATGTGTTTTTTACACTTATAATTTATTGTATTACTGATACGTTTTATTTTTTTATTTGTTTTCATATGTGAACAAGTCTACAATAAAAGCCTGTTCCTACAGATATTTTTATTTTCTTCTTGTAAAATCTATTTCTTTTCATACAATTGAATTGAAACATGTCATTTGTCAGTAGCGCATATTGACCTTACTAAGAAAATCATAACGTTTTTTTGTCGATATTTGGAGGCCCCTTAATTTAAGGCCCCATGAGCGCGCTTACTGCGCCTATTCAATCATGAAAAGCAACAAAATTGCGTAATTTCTGTGTAATCGTTTCTCATCAAAAGAACAAGACATTCAGGAAATACTGAAAATAAATTGCAAAAATAGTCTATTCCCAGTTACGTAAGGAACATTACGTAAATTTTCTTTCATAAAAAAATACGTAAGGGTGGCGCCCATCTAACGCAATCATGAAATGGAACTTAAGTTACGTATTTTTTTTGTAATTAATAAAAAAAAACGTCAAAACTCGGATCACACCGATACAGCAATTTTTAATACAATCCTATTCACTTTTTTCTAATTTCTACAGATCATAGCAGGCTACTCGAAGACAGCACTTATAGTAGATGTACTGACCAAACCACAATGCCGGCAGTTGGAAATGTTGTAGTTTTGTCTTTAATTTGCGTATTCGATTGTTTAATTATTACGAGTGGTAATCGATTAATTTAAAAAAAAAAAACGTGAAGGTAATGCAGCAAATTGAAAAAATATATACAGCAATAGTTAAATAACTGGTTATATTCATATATATTAGAAAATTTACTGTTTTAAAGAATAATTCTTTCAGTTTCGTTTGCTATAAAATTATTAATTAAGTTATTAATGTGTTGGCCGTTTTCGCGAATCAAAACGCAAGTCTCCCCCCCTTGAGTCTCGAAAATGACACAAAATTTCGATTTGCACTAGAAGATTAGGAGTAGCGAGGAGGTATATGAGCTTCTAGCAACGGTCGTTTCTGATTGGTTGTAGAAATTTACGTTTGGAAGAGTGAACAAACTGTCATTGTGACAGCTACTGTCTTTAGTGGATTTCTTGTTTATTCTACATTGTTTTGAATCCAACGTTTAAACTCATTTTAATCTATGTACTTTGTAGATTAACATTCATGTTCAATATTCTCCTAGTAGCAAGTGCTTACCAAAATATAGTCCATTTTCGAAAACGTTGTTTTCCAAACTGTCTATTACCAAAGTATGATAATTGACCAAGCTATAGTAGCTACTGTATTTACATTTATTTCAATCTCTATATTTAAGATCAACATCAATGTCCAAAATTCTTCTGACAGTTGGTGTATACAAAAATACAGGTCATTTTCGAAGACGTTATTTTCCCAAATCATTAGAAATACCAAAGTTTGTTAATTAATTATGAAGACAACCTTTGCAGCTACAAACCAATATTTATGCTAATTTTAATATGTGTATATTCAAGATCAACATTCATGTATAACATTCTTCTGGGACCTCATGTATACGAAAATACAGGCCATTATCTAAAGTATATATGTAGTTTAGTTGCTTGTAGTTTGGGCGCAAAATATTTTTTCTTAAAAATCGCTGTTTGATGTAAAAAAGGATTTTTGTTAATAACTCGAAAACCAATAAAATTGTGTTGTATTTCATGATTATGTTAGACGGGCGCAACTTTTTATGAAAAAAAAAATACGTTATGATTTTCTTAGTAGGGTCAATATGGGGCCTCACAAAGTCATGATGCGCTACTGTGTTATTTTGTAACAAAAATGAATAGTGCTAATAGAAACTAAATATCAAAGTAATACTAAAAAGAAAGGCATGATGCTATTATACTAATATCATCGTAATGTACTTTAATTAAAATAATAAAAGTATATATAAAAAAAGAAATAAATAAGCACCATATTTATAATTTATTCTTAAAACTGGTCAACTGAAGATCTTCTTTCAGTGGCACGTATTTCTCTGAAACAAAATAAAGAAAACAAAAAATGAAAAAAAAAACACTAAATAAGATAATATAAAATATAAATTCTCACCCATATTTCGAATCATATTGACTAGCATTACATTTGGTTTTGTATTATACATCATTTCTCCTTTACTAAAACAAAATCGATACAAAGTAATAAACAATTTCTCATGATTTAGTTAATGCACTTACACTCTTTCTCTATATAGAATATTCATTTTGACTAGAATGCTCAAACAGTGGCCAATACTATCTAGATTCAGTGTATAAGGATGCACAAATTGGTTGGGTTTTGAATTAGCTATACGCTCTATCCGCTCCTGCGAATCTCGCAATATTCTCTTTTCCGGGCAAGAATCAATATTCACCTATTTTACAAATTAATCATTAAGTTAAATTATTCCCATGCGTCTATATTATAATTACATTGTTTATCACGATACAAACTAAATAGTATGTTTGTATGAATGGCATCAGTAGGTTGGCAAAAAGGTCCTGTATTTTCTCGTTCTTACCAATTCCGTAGGTCGTCTCGTCCAATTTTGATATTGCCTCTAAATCCACGCAAGATTCTAGAGATTTCCAAAAATCCTAGAAAACAACTGTATTATATGTATATTCCAATTATTCAAATTACACGTATTAGAATATTAAAGAAAATATTATCATATACTAATTTCAAATTGTATACTCACTTTTTTATTATTATATTCGAATAATACAAATTCATTGGACATCAGAGATCGCAGAAAAACGTAATCATCATATAATCTATCTGGAATAATCAAATTTTAGAATTCAATGGGCAAATTTTACTCAATGTACCTTTGGATACAAGGTGCGTTTCGTAGTTCTTGATGATGGTGACCAGAATTGATTGGTTGATCGTGTAATATAGAACGGGATTGACGTAGATTTGAAGCATCACGAATGGTACTGCCAGTGTCATAGTGGCATCGGAGAGGGCGTGCGCCTTAAACTTGGTACCGTCGGCAAGGATTACCGAGTCCTGAACCAAAGTTATATTTGATTCGTCATCCATCTGAACCAGGTTTTTGTGTACATCGAGAGCGTCCATAATGTTTTCTCGCGGATATTTCAAATTGGACAAAGCACCAAATTTATCTAAAATATTTCTTATCCACATCACGTCCGTCACCAATTCATCGAGTCTCAAAATATTCTTCCTCATTAACAGATTATTGTTCAATACAGTAGCAATCAGATTGAAAGCAGACAAGACAGTCAGATGCTGTTGGGCATTTACAATGTGCTCAGCAAAACTGGAGATTTCTTTCTTCTCGTACGGCCCCAAAATTTGCAAATGCTGTGGGATTAGATGATTTTTAGTTTTATCCAGCCTGGAGCCAAAAAAATCTTTAACAGATATCGGTGAGCCTACGTCTATATAGATGCTGCCGTACTTCTCGTTAACCATGCTAAGCGATTTGAAAAATCCCTACAATTTCATCGATTTAAATCAATATTAACATAACGCTTTAATCATTCATGTATATCCTACTGAAGTGCTTTCCTTTGGTTTCGGAACACCGAGCAATTCGTACGCGAAAAGGCGCTCCTCCATAACGCGATCGTAACTGATGTTGATTGGCACGAAAAGTATATCGGGCACTTCTCCAGTCAGAAAGGCTCTCAGTATCATAGTCAATAAACCTTTGAAAATTAAAAGTTTACTTTATTGTTATAATCTCGGACCCATAGTTTACTAACCGAACTTCGGGGGTAACGATTTACAGCTGCGACTCCGAGTGCCTTCGATGAAGAACTCGATACCCGCAGAATTTTTGGTCACCAATTGATGCACATACTGCCGGAATGTATCCCAGTACAGGTTGTCATCGTTGTAGGAGCGTCGCATGAAAAATGCGCCCGTATTTCGCAGAACGGTACCCATACCCTTCATGCCGTGAAAATCTTCAAGATAAATGAAGTAAAACATAAAATACGCACATTCTAAAGTCACAATTTGTAGTTAAAAGTTGATTCATACCCATGCCAGCTGCAATCGCCGGAATCTCGATGTTTAATGTGAAAAGAAGGTAAGACATCAAGATAAAGTCTGCATAGCTTCGATGACTCGGCACATAAATCACAGGTATTCCACCATCCATGTGACGTCGTAACTACAAAATTAGATATTTTATAATCTTCATATATCAAATACATCATGTAGATATTTACATTCGTTACATTAAAACACGTTTTAATATCGAAACATATAATTTATGTGATTGATTCAGATAAAACAAATTGGGTAAATTTTATACTAAAGTTCACCAAATTCACCAAAATACTAATAATTAAATTAACTAAACAAACAAAATTTACAAATTTTTCAAGAAAAATTATTTAATTTGCAATTTTTATAGAATATCTTTTTTCAATTATGCCAATGTGATAAATAATAATTAACTAAATATAAAAAATATTCTTATGATGAAAGCAAAAATAATTATTTTTTTTTCCACGCGTTCATTACTTATCTCGTTAAAGCATATATTTTAAAATCTCACAATGAGTAATTAATCGATAACGCAATATTTATGGCCATTACGTTACAGAAGCAAATAATTGTTTTTACAACAAAAAAAACCTGAATGTTTGCAGTCACATAACTGTTCAAGGTTTTTGTCTATGTTTAATTACCTATATTGGCAATATCCATTATTAATTTTCTCGTATTGACTCAAAAAAAATAATACTTTAATAGTATTTGTTAGACGCAATTTGCATATTAACATTTCGTTTTGAATAAATTTTAAATGCTGATAATGAAATATAACAGAGTAAATTAATAACTTATAATGAAAAGTTTAATAATGTCCCAAGAAGTTATGTTCATTTTTTTTTGTTAATATTACCCGAATTCGCTTATTTACTTCAAGATATAAACTTTGAAAAATGTTTTAATGAATTTCTATAAAATGCTCTAATATTATTAAGTATATTATATTGTTGAGCCTGACCTGATCTATGCCGTCTGTGTTGAAGTAGATTCCACGACAAACTCGACAACAAACCTTCGTTAAGAACAATCCCAGCCACCTGATGGTTGATGTATGTTTGTTGAAGCCGATTTCATCAAGAATTATTTTGACACGACGCTCGACGTCTTTCGGCGGTAATTCGCTTTTGAAGCTTATCTGGAAAATCTATCCGTTTATATGTTTACTATTTAAAATCGTGTTTGGCCGCACCTCATCGATCAGATCCTGGATCTTCCTGCTTTTCAGCACGAGCATTTTGTGCTGTTTTGGTCCGATCTTGCTGTACTCTTTGCAAGGCGCATAAGGGCTCAGGACTCTAGAGACCCATAAGAAATTGCTGCACTCATTCCGTCTATCCTCCAGGATATCTCTAAACGCGAGAGCACTTCGAATCATCGTACACAGAGAGTTTAATGGTATTTAAAATATAAATATATATGTGTGTATAAATATAAACAATAATAAAGTGGAAAACTTTCAAATAAAATTGTAAATAAAGTGCGGAGAAAAACCGGACAAACTCACGCCGACGACGAGCGTTCAAGTGACAGCTGACAGAAACGACGTCGACGCAGCTGTTGGATCGCGTTGCGCGAGTCCGCCAATTTTGTAGCTTCAAATCAATGTTTCTCTGGGTCTATATCTCAAGCCCGACAACCGAAAGACCGTCTATTGAAATCCCGATGTTCGAAATCCCGGCTGTATTAAAATCCCGACGCTTGAAATCCCGACTACCATAATCCCGACAATCAAAATTCCGACTATATCGAAATCCCGACTACCATAAAAATGTTATTATAGAAATTTATAATAATAAAAGACACTGTCGGGATTTTGATTGTAGGGATTATGGTAGTCGGGATTTTGACATGGTCGGAATTTCGATATAGTCGGGATTTCAAATGTCGGGGTTTTGAGCCAGCCGGGATTTGGAACGTCGAGATTTCGATACACTCGGGATTTGGAACGTCGGGATTTGGAACGTCGGGATTTGGAACGTCGGGATTTCGAACATCGGGATTTCGATTGTCGGGCTTGCGATTGCCACCGGTTTCTCTATATTAATAAAATTGTATTCAAATAAATTATTATTAATTTATTTGATTTTGTTGAATTATTCATAATAAATAAATCAAATACAATTAGATTATTAATTGTTGTTATTTATTATTAATATCAATTTAAAAGTGACTACGCTCAGGAATAATTTAAAAATGTTATTGTATACATTTTCGATATAGTCGAAATTTTGATATAGTCGGGATTATATTTGTCGAGATTTTGATATATTTCAATTTTTTTGTTGAATTCACATAAAGCAATCGTTGAAGATCCAGAACTTAGACAATTTCTATTCAATGCAATTTTTTAAATTGTTATTTATACATAAATACGCTTAGTATAATGCAACATGAATTAAGTTAATGTTTATATCTTAAATGTACTGATAATTTTTTGACAACGAGATTTATTTTGAGTCATGGTATTAACTAAATACTGATAAAAACGGAATGCTCGAATTTTGAACATTATTTGAATTAGATAATATACATCAATATACATTTATAATTCTATTATCTTGAAATTAAAAAAAAACGTTTATCGAATACAGTTATTCAATAATCCCGATATCTGCAAATAATTAGATAATTTAAAAATCGCTGTAAAAATCAATTGAATTTATGTACTTTATATATTTTATAAATTCTATAAAATTTGACTCATGCAATGCAATCGCTACGGTCGCTACCCAATATACAAATATAATGTATAGAATTGCATCATGTGCGCTACAAAATGGGAATTTGCTCATATGGAAAAGGGAGCAAATTTTCATTTCTTAAAAGATTGCTTTGGTTGGATCGTTTAAATTGTATGGGTTAATTATGATCCCATTTCTGTCATCCTCTCATTGATTATTATTATTTTATAAATCCATTGCGGTATGAGAAGAACTGACTATATCTATGATGATACAAGTATGTCTTTACTTGTGTCGTACGGTAGCAATCAAATTCCCGACAACCATAATCTCGACAGACATAATCCCGACTATATCAAAATCTCGACAACCATAATCCCGACTATATCAAAATCCCGACAACAATAATCCCGACTGTATCAAAATCCCGACTATATGGAAAATGTCTTCAATAACATTTTAAAATTATTCTGTAGCGTAGTCACTTTTAAATTGTTATTAAAAATAATGATCAACAAATAATAATCTAATTGTATTTGATAATGTTAAGGTTTATTATGAATAATTCAACAATATCAAATAAATTACTAATAATTTATTGTTATTAATAATAAAAATGTAGCACAAGGTGACTACGCTCCGAAATAATTTTAAAATATTATAGTAGAAATTTTTGATATAGTCGGTATTTTGATATAGTCGGGATTATGGTTGTCGAGATACTGATACAGTCGGGATTATGGTTGTCGAGATTTTAATATAATCGGGATTTTGATAAAGTCGAGTTTTTGAATAAGTCGGGATTTTGATACAATCATAATTTTGATATAGTCGGGATTATGGTTGTCGAGATTTTAATATAATCGGGATTTTGATAAAGTCGGGATTTTGAATACAGTCGAGATTTCGAACGTCGNAATTTTGATATAGTCGGGATTTTGATATAGTCGGAATTTTGATGTAGTTGAGAATATGGTTGTCGAGATTTAAAAATGTTATTGTCGAGATTTTGATATAGTCGGGATTTTGATATAGTCGGGATTATGGTTGTCGAGATTCTGATACAGTCGGGATTATGGTTGTCGAGATTTTGATATAGTCGGGATTTGATACAGTCGGGATTTTGATATAGTCGGGATTGATTTTAATACAGTCGGGATTTTGATATAGTCGGGATTTTGATACAGTCGGGATTATGGTTGTCGAGATTTTGATACAGTCGGGATTATGGTTGTCGAGATTTTGATATAGTCGGGATTTCGAACTATGGTTGTCGGGATTATTGTTGTCGGGATTTCAAACGTCGAGATTTCGATAGACGGTCTTTCGGATGTCGGGCTTGAGACGTTTAATAATGCACATTCAATATGTAACTTTGGTTGCAGTATGTTAAAGTGTATGTGCATTATGTTGGTGAACCTGGTATTATTTTGTTCATTTAATTCAATTTTATTTTGACAAATGACAGCCACGTGTTTTTGAGCAGTGTTGACCGTGTATAAATATTCGATGTATTTTATATTTGTTCAGTTAATAATTAAATAACCATGGGACAAATAAAGGATATCGATATGGAAGTAAGTTGAATATATAAAATTTACGAAAATCCTTGACTTTACTTTTGAGAACATTTCTTTAATAACTTTATATATTTACATTTAATTTAATTTATTTTAGATAACAATAATGGTATATAAGTTCTTTTTATAAAACCTTTCAATATATATTGTTTGTTTATATACATTTTTGTTTAAAATAATCTATTTTATGTGATGTACTAGTTAATATCATGTTAGTTGTTTAGGTTATATTTTCAAATCTTGTAATTTATATATTGTCTTTCTTGTTGTTGATTCTTGTTACTGTATTGTTTTTATCATTGTTGTTTTTTTATTTTAGGAAAATTCTGAAAAGAAATCAGATGTGGGTGAAGTAGAACCACCCAAGATAAATCCGAAGAAAAGGAAAGGCAGTTATAAGGAGAAGCTTCTGTTAATGAAGAAACAAAAATTGTTATCTGGTGAGGATAATGTTTTGGCTGAAGCTCAAGAACCAGTGCAGAAGGAAAATAAACCAAATTATGCTCTATACAAGCAGCCCACTGCAGATGAATTAAATCAGTTGCGTGAAACTGAGAACTTATTCAATTCCAATATATTTCGCCTGCAAATCGACGAACTTCTGGGTGAAATTAAAGTGAAACCGAAATACGAAAAGTTATATGATTCGTGGTTTGAGACATTCAAGGAATCTTTTAAAACCATCACCGAATTAGACACAATTCCATTGGTTAATTTCAAGAATGTTAAAGGTAAGAAATTGAGCGCTCAGCAGAAGTTTATCAATCAGACAGTAAAGGATTTGAATCATGAACTTTTTTCGAAACCTCACGATCTTTCCATGAAATTTAATAAGCCGGTTAGCGTAACACGTATGGCTAAATATAATTGTATTTCGAGTAAAGAGTTGAAATACAATCCTAGTATTTGCTTGGCTATGCCTAAAGAAACGTTCTCACCAAAGAGCGATTTCTTGTATAATAATTATGCCATCAAGAAGTATCATTATATGGTTTATGTTATGCAACATATCAAGAGTTTGGATATCGTGAAAGAGGTGAAAATCGAGAATTATTTTGGTAATTATTGGATGCCAATTTTGACGATTGTGCCCAGCAATTCCGAAAA